TTTTTTTTTGGTGAAACACTCAGAAGACAACATTTTGCATTAGTGTAATGCGCTGTGAAATAATATTGGCGTCTGTATATAATTAGAGAACTGTAAAATCGTCTGCTGCTGCTTCTGCTGCTTTCTGAAAGCCGATTAAATCTGAGAAATACAGAATCACGAACCTCCATATGCTCTTCGTAATAAATCTAAAAGTAATTGAAACTGGAAATTGCAGTGCAATCACAGACAATATTGATCTGAAATATCTTCAATTACGTGATTCAGCAATTGTTGACTTAATGATTTAATTAACGGGGATGATTTACTATGGCTATCAATGTTATTAATTATAATTACAAATTGAATCTTATTAAATTTAATTGTAAAATTGTTGTATTACATTTGTTGTTCTGTGTGAAGCCTTATGGCAATTCTAAAACCATATTGAATATTTATAGTGGAAGACCCTACTGGATGGCATTCGAGGTCCTTCTGTTGTCGTGTCTGTTTGTCAGCATACTTTTCGTTACCCTTTACAACTAATTAGGAGGACTCTGAACAGTTGTAATGGGGATGGTTTTGGAACATTTGTCAGTTATCTCGCACATACCTAAATTTGATCGACACGCGAGTCCCCATTTTCGTATCTTTTTCAGTAATCGAAACAAATGGAATGTGTAAACGAAAACAAAATTATTAATTAAATTACGAACATATTTACGTGAAATATTTTCTAAATTAGGGTCGTCAGCACTTCGGCCAAAGTAAGGGTCAATATAAATTAGTAAATAAATAACAATTTCTTACAATAAATTGAATGTGACCTGAGTTCTAATGTAATTTAAAATTATTGTAGAATTCTAGATTAAATTTAAAACTATTTAATATTTAATTACAGGTAAAATGTCTAAAATTAATTTCATTTAAATTGTGAAAATATCTATATTTGTGAAACGCGACATCTAGATATTTCATCTGTTTGTAAGGTGTAAAGGTTTGGAGAAGATCATCTAAGAAAAGTATTCGTTTTAACCGGGAAAGTTTTACACCATTGAGGAACAACGGCTGCGAAGCTCAGGGATATTGACCCCAGGTTCTTCCGCCCTTATTTCTAACGTATATTGGAATTTGGGTTCGTTTTCTAGGATTTATTCTCAGCGCCAACTGCAACTAAATATAACATATAATATGAAATATGTTTAATGCTCTGATTTATTTATTTTTTTTAAATATCGTATTGTAATTAAATGCAATGACTAAGATTATTATTACCGGTTCGCAGAATGACCATAAAATGTAATTACTTTAAAATGTTAATAATGAGCGTCTTCCTAGCACCTAGTAATTATTGTTGCTATTATTAAGAAATGCTTTCTTTTTTGTAATAACGATCGGTAATGTTTTTTTAACCATCTGCTCTAGACGAAGTGCATACAAATTAATCGTCTTGGTGCCATAAGGTTTCTTCTTGAGGAACTTTACCTGCTCGCTGTCTGCGAAGCAGAAAATCGACTTTCGAGATTTTTTCCCCACAATAACGCACCTGCCCTTGTTCAGACGTTACGCTAGGAAGTGGCCTTTAAAAATAAGGTGAGGTGAGGTGAGGAGGTTTTCTACCTTATGATAATTTTTTAAAGGGCCCTCCATTGTCGTGAGGACTGAACCCCCCTTCTCACAAGAAACAAGTGACATCCGATTCATGCGGAAATCTGGAATGCACGCGATAAGGTGGTTACAATCACTGTTCTCTTTTTTTTCGGTTGGATTTTTTTTCACCTTACTTCTTTCTTTGTTCGTTCTTCTGACACAAGAAGTTTGTTTTTAAGCATACATTCGTTTGTTTTAACACATATTTCTATTAACATTAATAAAATACAAATTGTACTTTCTAATTTAATGTTTGTAATAACAATATTTATTGCAACAATGATATAAAACATTACACATTTACGTATAGAATAAAAAAACACATTGTTTCATATTTATTCATAAATTATACTTATTTATAAAATTATTGAATGTCAAATAATTAACTAATTTCTTAATTTATTTTTCATATCTAATTTTGTTAGTTGTGAAGAAATAATAGTAATGACAATTAGTTAATAATGAGAATTAAATAAATGTAACAGCAGATGGAATATTGTTAAGGTATTTTTGTTTTCTTGTGTGTCTGTCACCTACGAAATGGTCTTGAACGCTGAAAACAATCTCGAAGTTGCGTAGGAAGAGGTTGCAGAAATGAAAGAAAAAAAATAAAGTAAGCGGAGATTGGGTTTCGTTTCGTTCCAGTTAGAAATTTGCGAAACGGGTATAATTATTTGCTGGTGAATGTATTTGAATTTTATTTTCCTCTTATTACGAATTTCTGCATCGCACAAAACACATCAATCCTTCGCAAGAACAGATGTGTGTCTAAAATTATTTCGCAAGCCGCACATACCACCACACACACATATGGTGGTCGTTGTTGCAGTCTCGTGCCCACTGGAAGCTGCATCTCATGAGTGAGTATCCAAGATGAACGCAAGCTATTTATCCATCATCTGCAACTCTCGCACACATCCATATGTATTTATAGATGCGCTTTTTGTGTGCGATTGGGTTATGTGCGTTTTTGGCTGTGCCGTTTGTCACGTTTATTGGGGTTGATTTTCGGCAGAGAGCACAGATGTTCTGTGCTCTGTGCTCTGTGCTGCCAGGAGAAAAGAGCGGAGCCGATAACATCTGTCGACCGATTAGCGAAGGCCTCGCAGCCTTCTAAATATCGAATTTTTAAATTCCACGTTCCCTTTAATAATAAAAGGAACTCGAGTCGGAACAGGCGATACCCTGTTTCCTTCAGGCAGGCAGACACAGTCTGTCTCTCTGTCTGTCTATCTCGATGCATAATATTAACTGAGACTACACAGGGATAAATAAATTACATACGTGTCTTACATACGAAATTGTTACTTATATATTAATGCTACCTTACTGTAAATATTCTATCGATTGACGTTGAATTTATTTCTTCTCAATTTATTGACTATCAAAATCTTTAATACATTTAGACATATCTAATTTATAACATATAATATTCATGTTGATGTAAAGCATTGCTCAGCACATAATAAGTTCAATGTCAATGGCGAGTAAATTACTGACCTATACCAATAAATGAATATTTCAAAGCATTCTTTATTGCGTTAGGAAACCCACTTCAAAGCATCTTCAAAGACGAGAGTATTAATTATAGAGAGCAAACACGAACGTATAATTAATGAAACATTCTTGTTTCTATAATCAATAGTCGGATAATTAATTTAAATTGTTTTATTTCTGTACCATTTCATTGTTTAAATATCATAAATAAAAGGAATGTTGTATTATGTGATGTTGTAAGTTAGGTAAGTAAAAGTGCAATTTAACAATAATAGATTGCATTGCTCGAAACAGTGGCGTTTCAATCTGGAATTACAAATAACGGATTGTCTTTTAAACGCAGTTTGCTCTTTAATTCTGTTTGTACACGAGACTTCCTGCTGCGCCACTGGCTCGAAGGACAAGTTTTTGATAAGGGAACATTGGTAATTACAACAGTGTTGTCATTTAGTTTTTATATATAGATATATAAGATGCAATTGGTTAGCAACAGTTGATGTAAATAGTCTATTTCTTATTTTGTTATTACCTGAAGTTTCCTTCTTGTAGTAAGTGATCGTACGTGAGGGAAACTCTATCACGTAATGATAATGAAGACTTTATCTCATAGAATGTTTTGCTTAAGACGTAAACAGTAGGAAATAAAAATAAAGAATGCAGAGGCATAAAATACAAAGAAAAATGTATTTAGTAAATGTATATTTTAATGTGTTCTAACTGTATTTTTTGTTAAGAATTAATTATTGATTTTCTACGACGTGAATTCAAACTTGTAAAGGTGTGTGTATACTCATAATCGTCGATGATCCGGTGGAAACATGCCGTGAGCAAGCAACGACAAGTTCTCACTGGATCCTCGATAGTTCACCAAAAAATAAAGATGACTCAGTCGGTTTTGTTAACAAAAATGCATCGGTAACCTTTACTTTTAACTTTGCAGATTTTTTTGAAAGAATAATATTTTTAGATAATCTGTAAAATGTAAATTAGTTTGTTTTTTGAAAATTAGTATTAATAATTAATGAAGTGTAATAATTGAATTTTGTCAGAATAATTTATTTAAAGTTTTGAAAAAAATAATCGCTTTTGAGGAAGAAAATTTAATAGTAAATATAAGAAATTTTAAATAAAGTATTAAAGTTGTATTATGAAAATTCTGTATCGACACCTTGAGTAGAAATTGTACACATTTTTTTTATATCGTCCTCCCCTTATTCAAGTAGATTCAGCTCCCCTCAGAAACTAAGAATAGGGGTGTCTGTAGAAATTACCGTAAAATATATGCAAGTAAGTAATGATTAGAATTAGTATTTGACGAAAGTGTAGTTTTCATTTTTAGTAACTGAAATAATTACAAATGAAATAATTACACCTTCTATTTGTTTATTTTTGTATTGATATTGAATTTAATTATTATTTAGAATTGAAACGGTGGAAATAGGAATGTGGAGAGTTGAAATAAATGCATTAGATATATTTTTGGATATGCGATTCTAAGTGTTATGCTAATTGTGAAGATAAACAGGAATATTTCGCGAGGTTTACATAACTGCGAAGTACGTTGGATGTTTTGCTAGTTTTATTGTAATAAAATGCGTTGCATAATGTGTATAAAAGTAAATTGATTTGAATAATCAAACCGATTTGAAGTAAACATTTTCAGGGGATGCGCAAGTAATAAATAATTTTTTAAACGGTGCGTGGATAACAAATGTATTTGTTAGGGGGGGAGATGTTTTTTTCTTTTTGTTTTGTTTTGTTCCCTCTATCTACAGATGCATCCAGAAAGTTAATTACCTGAAAATCTGTTGGTGAAAAAGTCGTTACAATATTTGGACCATAGGTCGTAAAGTGGTTGGAGGGGAGGAGCGCCTATATAAAGGTATGAAGCGCCTAACGCACGCCAGTTCATTACAGCTGTTGCTAGCAATCGGGGTTGGTGCATTTCTCGGAGTTATTCTCTCTCTCTCTCTCTATATATCTCTATTTATATACATAAGCAACAAACAGTTCTATTAAAATGGCAATGACAATCCCAATGTTGAACGTTAACTTGAACAACCTCCGCCCGTTCGACGGCGAGAACAACAGTAACAACAACAACAACAATAATCCAACTACGATGATTACGAGGAGATCGTCGAAGCGATGCCTATTTGGGTCACCGGATCCGCAAGAAACGTATGCCCTCCTCGAGAAGCAACTGAGCGACGAACGTGAACGTTTCTACTTGAAGTTCGGCATATACATGGAGCAATTGGAGAGCGTGGCCGTGGAGCAAGAAGAGGTGGTGCCGTCGTCGTCCACGAAGAGGTCAAAGGATAAGCTGAAGTGCAGCGCGGAGAAAAAAGCGAGGCAGTTCAGAATACTGAAACCTTACAACGTTCAAACGAAAATTACTGGTGAGTAGTAATAGTAGTAGTCAGCGTTCATCCTCTATCCATTTAACGAGACCCATTAGCAACGTAAACGATCCAAATCGTTTTTTTATTGATTTCAATTTACCAATTCACCTACGCACACAAACATATGTTGTCCTAAATACAGTTAAGTTTCGCTTCCATCATCGTCGTACCGCAATGCAGAAAGTCATACCGGCAGGCTGCTTCTGCTGTTGTTTACACGTAGTGAGCGGGTCATGAATACGACGCACCGCGCGCTAAATATGCATCTGCCCCATATAATCAAACGAAAGTCCTAATGTTCTTTTTTTCTTGTTTTGTTACAGATTTTTGCCAAATAAAGAAAACGTCGAGTCTTCCAAAGAAGTGCTGAAAGGGGAGACGACTGTTCACGAACGGCTGTGCTTCCAATATATATTATTATTAATATTATTCTACTATTATCGAATTGTTACTATATTTATAATTAATTTATTACTAGTTACTAGTAAATCTAGTCCGAACTGTGTATATTTTATTTTATTTTATTTTTTTGTAATATAAGAATAAAATGATCAAAGAATACGTAAGATAACAGACAAAAAAAAAATGTATATGTAAACGCATTTTCACTTTTGGCGGTAAACGCATACTGGATGAACACCTGTCCTGTTGGTACCTGACCAGACCGAAACCTTCAGATCCGCACTCTCCTCCCGCCTTTTCGCTTCCCGAAACTAAAAGAAGAAACCTGACAATGCGATAGAACTCACTTCAAGTCTTCGCATTGTTGATGTCGTCCCCCTTTTTATTTTTGGATTTCGTTTCTTCCACGTATTTTTACTACGCTTATTGCAACTGCAAACAACTTTCACCTTGCGTTTTCGGTTTTTGGCAAAGGTCGAACATACTTTTCCTTCGCACGGAATGCATATTGAATCCGATAGCAAATGAATTGCATCACCGCACCGTCACCATATTCGTTCGTCTCTCTAATAAATATTTAAGAGAATCTGTACGTTCATTTTGGATTTGGATGCGTAGACGCTACCTGTGTTAGTTAGTCCCCACACACAAATGGAAATCCAAAGACAGGTAGCCGGCTGGTAGGAGGTCTTATCGATTCTAAATTATGTTAATCGTTCTAGGATGCTGGAAGCTTCAATCTACTGCTTCTGCTGCTGCTTCCCTTCAAAATATTTGAATGTATTTATCTCTCTAGCGACGTTCTTCAAATATTTGTTTACCATCTATTCAATTCAATTTACCATCCAAACAAATATATCCATTTAGTCTATATACTCACACATCAATCTACAAATATTGCATTTAATTATTACATATCAATTAAAACTTTATAAATTTTCAAATAGAAATAAGCAAATATAAACGATAAATATGTTTCTACCTTACTTTTAGGCGCGAAATATTGGGAATGTAAACTAAGAATTTCTCTTCACAATCCTTTCATGTTTAACCGTTGGTCGAGAGAATACAATGAAATTTCGGTAACAAATATCGACTGTACGAATTTTCTATTTCGTTCATAAGTTTCATGTAAATGTGTAACATTAATTAAGTGAAACAAGAGTAAAGTTTTCATTAAAACGTACGTTTAATTAAATCCCGGATGCGGAGACGAAGAATAGTAACGTGTCGACGCGTACGTGACCATTTCGCTCGTACATCATTCAACGACAATAATTTCAAAAGTTTTTTGTCCTAAGAAGGAAATTCGTTCGTTTGTCGAGGTACAGGTGTAGAGTTGTGATACCAAGAATTTCCTGGTGGGTCATAACAACCACCGTAAAAACTTTTTTAAGTAATAAAACGAAATTATGTAGGTTTCTTACCACTGCTACAATATACACTTTAAACTATTTTGTAATCTAATCTAACAGATGATTTATATGATTATCTTAGAATCACAATTGCAAATATTTATGGAAAATAAAGATGATAATTACTATCAAAATATTATGAAAATTTTTGTTTAAATTAATTTGAAAAAGAGTTGTAATTTAAAGGCGCTTCACCTTGTATATTTGTTTTTCAATATTAGTCCTAAATATTGAGTTGTGTGAAGAGTGTGTTGTATTTGGAAACAAGAAATGTTGTGGTTGTTTATTGGTCTTGGCATGTTTACAGAAAGGCGATTTGTTATCCTTCAACATAATAATAGTAATATATTGAAAGCAAACTGTAGTTAAATGCAAAATAAGTAAACATAGCGACTCAACGATACATTGGAAAAAAGAAATATAAGTTTCAAGTGTTTGTACGTTTTATCAGAATTAGTAAATATATTTATATGCGTGCATTCAATAAACTGTCAATTTGCTTTGTCGTTGTATTGCCATCAAATTCCCAATTGTTTACTTTCTGAAAAATGTCATTAATTGAGAGCCATTTGTCAATTGACATTGACAGTTATTAAAATATTGACATTAGTTGAGTTGTCAGATGCAATTGTCATTCAACCTACGCACATATTTTGTTTGAAATTGCGGATTTTGTTACATCGAAGCTTTGTTATCAGAGGTAACGTTAACCGAGGTATAATTTGTTTAATAAGCTGTCAAATAGTGATGTAATATGTTAACTAGCAGTTAATTTTCAATATCAAAATCTGTCAATGATCTGACAGACGACAGAATGTCAAAAAAACTGAAATCTACATACTTCCTTGCTTCTTTTTTTTAGTCAATAACAAGAAAATATCCTATAATTTCATATGGTAAGTTTTGGTAAGTTCCAGAATTAAACTGAATCATCCGGGTCTCGGTTTTGGACTTGTTTTCTAAAATCAAATAAAAAACGTTCATGTTTTCGATAACTTCGTTTTTGAAGTTATCCAAATTAGATAATCGATGTATAAATTTCCCAATGATTTGATTAATTTCAATTAATCTTTCAACTTTATTAGCAAAAATTCTCGTTATATATCATTTTGAATTAATGGAAATTTGTTTTGTCGTTATTTTGCCATCAAATTCTCAATTGTTTACGTAATGAAAAATGTCGTTATTTGAAAGCTATTTGTCAATTGATGATTATTGACATTGACAGTTATTATAATAGTGACGTTAGTTGAATTGCGTTGACATATTCAACTTCTGGACATATTTTGCTTGAATTTGCGGATTTTGTTATATCGAAGCTTTGTTATCAGAGGTAACGTTAGCCGAGGTATAATTTCTTTAATTTGCTGTCAAATAATGATGCTCGAAAAGTTAATTTTCAAACACAAAATCTGTCAATGATCTGACAGACGACAGAGTGTCAAAAAAACTGAAATCTACATACTTTTTTGCTTTTTTTTAGTTAATAACAAGAAATATCGTAAAATTTCATATAACAAGTTTTGGTACGTTAGCAGACTGTTGTCGTTGTTTTGTCATCAAATTCTCAATTGTTTACGTAGTGAAAAATGTTTTTATTTGAGAGCTATTTGTAAACTGGTGATTATTGACATTGACAGTTATTATAATATTGACATTAGTTGAGTTGACAAATGCAATTGTCATTCAACTTCCGGACATATTTGGTCGAATTTTGTGGATTTTGTTACATCGTAGCTTTGTTATCAGAGGTAACGTTAACCGAGGTGTATAATTGTTCCATCATTCAGAAGTAAACTGAATCATC